CATCTATGATTCGGACTTCACCCTGGAAGAGCTTCTGTGGGCACTGGACAAAGGACGTAGTGTCTCTACAGATCCTGATTCGGTAGGGTATCCGATGCTCCGACGTCTACCTGTATGCGTCAAGATAGCGTTACTGGAGGTTCTAAATAGAGTCTGGCGTAGTGGCGTGTACCCTATCAGCTGGCGAACCGGAATAATAGTGCCGATTCCGAAGCCGCATTCATCTGAGTCTGGTCCTGCAGCTTTCCGACCTATCACTCTGATCAACTGTATCGCGAAGGTGTTCGAGCGCATGGTGAATCGTAGATTGACGACGGAGTTGGAGTCAAAAGGACGATTAGACAAAAGGCAGCACGCTTTTAGAGCTGGACGCGGGGTTGAAACGTACTTGGCGGAGTTGGATAGGTCGCTTCCCAATCGTGATGAACACTGCTTGATAGCATCACTCGACATATCGAAGGCATATGATACCACTTGGAAATACGGCATTTTACGCACTATGCGGAAGTGGCAGATAGGTGGGTGGATGTTCAATGTGTTGAACAGTTTCCTCGCCGACAGAACATTCCGAGTGAACGTGGAAGAACATTTATCGAGTGAAATGCCATTGGAAAACGGAGTTCCCCAAGAGTCAGTGCTGTCGGTCACGTTGTTCCTCGTAGCGATGCAGCCAATCTTCAGCGCGGTGCCACATACTGTCACCGTTCTCTTATATGCGGACGATATTTTGCTGGTGTTACGGAGAAATAAGGAACGACCGCTCTATCGCGATCTACAAGCCGCGGTGAAAGCTTTCGATAAGTGGGCGAAGAGCGTTGGGTTCAAAATATCAGCTACGAAATCGAACATCTTCTACGGCAGTCCCAACGCCCGTAGGGAACCTAGCAGCAACCCGCATAAACGCGAACCATCACATGACCTTACTGATAATGGTTATAAATTGTTTATAATCCCTGCTAAACTTCAACTGAAATGGTTATGGAACTTTACATGAACGTTTGTGTGATAAAGTTTTAACCTTATGTGTTATGGTTTTGTGGAAGCGGACCTTACAAATAATGGGTTGTTAAGAACGGCCATTACCATTTTAAATTCTTGTTTTCTCCATACATTTTCGGAAAGAGAACTATATTAGAACGTTTTTACTTATGGTTTGAGAACATTAATGGTTATGGTTATGGTAGTCAGTAAGGTCAATTAATGATTTTGTATTATCACTCAACTTTACGTGAAATATATCGTGAATTGGTTATCAGTAATTTACAGGCAACCAATTCGCGATATATTCCACATAAACTTGATCGATGTTACAAAACCATTCATGGACCTTACTGGTTACCATAACCATCACCATTAATGTTTTCAAACCATAAGTTAAAAGGTTTTAGTTTAGTTTTCTTTCCGAAAATGTATGGAGAAAACAAGAATTTTGAATGGTAATGGTTCTTAACAACCCATTATTTGTAAGGTCCACTTCCAAAAAACTATAATACTTAAGGTTAAAACTTTATCATTAAACGTTCATCTAAAGTTCCATAACCATTTCAGTTGAAGTTTAGCAGGGATTATAAACAATTTTAACCATTTTACGTAAGGTCAATTTATGGTTCGCGCTTATGCGGGAATATCAGCATCGATCATGTAGTTGTACCGAAGACGAATCGTTTGAAAGTCATCGGTGTCACCCTCGACCGGTCACTGACTTTCAAACAGCATTGTAAGACTGTGAAAACTACATGCGACTCAAGGCTGCGAATTCTTAAAATGATTGGGGCTAAACTTCCACGAGGGCAACGCGAATCCTTTCTGTGCATAGGATCGGCAATTGTTCGGAGCTGCAGTGTCCATCATTGCTGATTCAACTGTCTAACGGGTCGTTGGACTTTCAGCGGAACTGTTTCTCTGATAATATCGTGTAAATGTCGTAGAGTATAGATACGGAGTTGTCGACGGAAGCTTGATCCAGTAAACGGTTCCAGTCCAGTGAAGCTATTCGTCTGTTTACGATACGGTAGTAATGCTAGTCCCTGCCCCGTAGATGCGTTAAGTGGTAAAAATACATTAGACTCCTCGTCCAAGCTCCACACTAAATTAAGCAGATTATAGTCACCGAGGACCACAATAACGTCATTTGGGCTAGCGAATTTTTGAATTTGATTAACAGATTCTACATGACTAGCGAAATTATCCACCTGACTGGGCGGATATAGATGCCGCAGATTTACACCGAAGAATTGGAAAGAGTGATGCGAATAGCCGTTTCCAAAAGTTTCAAAAGTATATGGAGCATTAAAAGTTCCTTTTAAGATTTCTTGCTGTAAATTTCGAAAATTTTAAGAGTACTAACATATATTATTCTTATGATTTCTAAGGGTTGCAGGAGGTCCAGTAGTTCGTAGAGTTTTGAGAATTTCTTGTAGTCGTTAACATTTGTAAAATTTTCAAAATACAGAAATTTTTGGAAGCATCGGAAGTCACCATAGTTCTGAGAGTTTTTTTTTTCGTATTCCTTATTTTCCGGAAGTTCTAAAGTTCTTTTTCAGATTCGGAAATCTTTTAGTATCGGAATTTATTGGAAGAATTCAAACGTTTGTTAAAGTTGTAGAGGTTCAGGGGCGTTCCGTAACCTCACTTTTTACCTGTACATCAACTTTCAAAACCAAATTTAATGCCATATTCATACTCGAATCGGTTGAATAATACACTTAAGGCCCACGCACATTAGATCCGGATCGGACGCGTTGCGGCAAACTGACAGCTAAATCTATTGTCTAACTGTCAAATTTACGTCAACGCAACGCAAACGGATCTAATGTGGGTGGTCCCTTTATACTTCTGCTTCTAGTTTACTCGATGTCTATCTATTGCAAGCAATATTTTGATAATTGTTTATGTTTTGGTAGTTGGTGCACAGGTAGATTGAGGTTAAGGAAACGTCACTGGAGAGGTTCCAGGGGTTCTTACAATTTGCTTGTACATTTTTCATATTCGTAGAATAGATGCTGTTCATCCATACCAGAATTACTTGGAGTTCTAATTATTACTGGAGGTTGCCAAGTTCTTGAAAGAAGAATAATATTTATGTGGGAAGATTTGAAAGCTTTCACAGCACTAGACTAGTAGTTCTTTGGGATTTTAAAAGTTGCAGCGATTGAGAAGCTCCTGAGGCTCTGAAGTTACTGGGGTAGTATGGAATGACTTCAACGATTTAATTTCTTAAGAGTCTAGAAACGTTGTTAGAGTTCCAAAAATTCTTGAATTTCTTTCAGTACTTAATATTCCGGGAGTTCTTAAGTTTTTTTTAATGCGAAGACCGCAGAGTAATATAATTTAATGGGATTACCAAGAGTTTTTAGAGATGCTGGATGTTTTAGAAGTTCTCAGAGAACAAGAATTGATTGGAGTTCTAAAAGTAGATTTCAAAAGTTCTTAAAGTAGTTCTTGCAGTCCTTAATTATCCAGGTACTATTTTACTAGGAGCACCTAAAATTAATGCAATGACAATAAGAATACTAGGGAAAATCTTAAATCAAATCTAATATGGGGTGTTTATGTAGCGAAAACAGTAGAATTCTATGGGATAAAACTTAAGCGAGGTCAAAAGGAATATTTCAACATTTTTTTTTAAATTTATAGGGTATACGTCCCTAACCTCGGTCTAATATGCAGCCATCGATTACGTTTTTAATCATAACTCATCAATGAATTTACCTGCAAACGATATTCTACTGCTAAATGGTATGCTTAGATATGCTTATCATGTCGTTTGCTATCAGAAACCACGAAAAGTTGAAAAACTTACTTTTTTTAAGACAATAACTCACGAGGGAAATGTATGTAATATGGGTCTATTGTCCCCAAATTGGGTCTATTTATGGATGCAACTTCGTCCTATCCTGTTTGATCCTCAAAAAAACGCTCTTGGTAACGTTTTCTGATGTATTTTTTTTTTATCACTATCACTGTTAACTTAATGCTCTTCATTCCTCAAAACATTTCTTAGAGAAAATTTTACGAAAACTACATTAAATCACTCAATTTAAAAATTAAAAATTAAAAATTTCGCTTATCGTCTTTTGACCGCAGAATATCTAAATCAGAACATTGTGATGTTCATTATACAGGTTTGGCAGAAAAAATCTCCCTTCCTGTTCGTTCCTTATCATCCAAATGCAAAACAACATTGTTGACGTTACTCTTATTGCTATATGCTGTCAAATGAATTTCATGGGCCATAGTTAGGAACATAGAAAAGAAATGTGTCCCTAAAGTTGGGTCCATGTTTTACTTGTGAAAACGTTGTTAAACAATTAAAATAAACATAAAATATTCAAACAGCAACTGTAAGTTTTACGTCTAGTGTGTATTATCAGGTAATTCCAATCAATAAATGCCATAATCAGGCCATTTGATGATCGTCAGTCAACCTTCCCATCTTAACCTTATAAGTCATGGCGGCTAAAAACTCCGAACATTGTGATATTCTCAACCAGTTTTATTACTTACGAGAGCTGAAAATGTATTGAAATGTTGTGATATAAATTGATTTGTGTGTGGTACACATTTATCAACCATCAGTGATCAATATTTTCCTTATTTTTTGTGTAATATTCCTTAATTAATTATTTATTTGCGTGATAGGCCGAATGAAAGGACTAGACCCACATTACATACCGTAACCCTACTAATTATCTATAACGATGAATGATGATGAATCAGACAAAAGTTGAAAGTCACTCTAATAATAAAAAAATCCATAGTAAATTTATTAAAGAATTTGTAAACAGTTTTTAATAAAATTCTTATTAAGATATAAATAAGTTACACGTTACAATGTGATTTATCTATCGTAAGATTAATAAATTACAAAATTGACAAAAGAGACGCGAGAAATAACAGATCATATTTTGTACCAAAACAACAAGCAGTTGATCGACCCCTCACGGCACAACTTCATCTCCACGCACGTTTTCTCGCCACGAATAAGAAACCCTACATACCAGCATCTTCTATTTGGGGAATTCCGGCTTTCGCTGCGGTAGCTTTATTCTTGTCCCCGGCAGCCTTGCGTGGTTTCTTCTGTTTGCCAACAACGGCCCAATCGTCAGACATTCTGGTTTCTAGCAGCTTTTGCTAACTAAACACCACGTAAATATTAATTAAATTTAATCGCACTGATAGCAACAACAAAGAACACTCGTTATCAAGCACCGCACCGCGGAAACTTTCACTCACAAAATTAACACAAAAATACGACGAATGTAAATCACCGAAACGAAATCAAGCACACGGATTAAACAGAGAATCTATTAAATAACATTCAGAACAGGGATTTGTACACAATCTACCGATAAATCGGATGTAAATCTACGAATCTTCACCGGAGGAATCCTACCAGATGTAAAAGGGATGCAATATAGCAAAAACGCTGGCTGACAACTGGACAGTGTTTTCTTCTTCCGAACGGCGGTTGCCGTTTTGTTTTGTACACTTTTTGACAGTTCTCTTTTGTTCATCTGCTTTGTGCCAGCCCCAGTGGGTGATTGTACACTGAAACAAAATTTACTGTGCAGTATATTCTACAGCCAGGAGGCATTTTATTTCATTACTGACGTTAAAATCAATATTTTAACTGCAAAACTCCTCTCCGTAGACCTTGATATGACTAAAACGCTTTGTGTTCTATAAATGATAATAAAAGTAATTAACTTTAACTATGTTTTTTGGTTTTTCACAAGAGTATTCATATGACAGCATATGTTCCGAATCTTTTGAAATGTGCTGTTGTCAAATCATTGATAAGGAATCTCTTTATTTACTACTTTCGTATGCATACGTTCGTAGAGTTTTATCCAGAGGTTTCTTATAAATCGAATTTTTAATGCAACTGTTCTATTATCATTTAAAATGAGTTCATCTCCATATTCCGACGACGATAGGTAAGCAAACTGAAATGTAACTTCCCCATTTTCCAAGTTACCATTTTTTACTCACTGCCAGGAAAATCGACTTTAACCCACTACTGCTGGCGAGCGGCAATCGAAAAAGTGCTTTCCTTCCGTACAAACCCACGAATACGGTTCTCACGAACTTGCAGCGTGGAAACACCGAGGCAAGCATCCCCAGCGAAATATGTTTGAACTTTCATGAGAAAACCGGCCAGGGTGAAATCACCGAAGAGCAGGTACGATCGGAGAGGTCGGTCGATTTGCCGGATTCCAATTGTTTTACGCCACTGCATTGGGCTTGCTACTACGGTCAGCTAACTTCAGCTCAAATTTTAATCAAGTAAGTCGGTTTTATTGTGATTAAATGACGATTAGTCATTAGTTAATTAATTAAATTTCAAGCTGTGGAGCTGACGTGAATCGTCAGGCTATCGATATGATTACGCCACTTATTCTGGCCGCAGCCGGCGGCCACCATGAAATCGCTCGGTTATTGCTCCAAAAGGGTGCCAAAGTGAACCACATGGATGTGATTGGCAATTCGTCCCTGATGTATGCGGCAGCCGGAAACCATCCGCATACGTGCAATGAGCTGCTGAGTAAAGGTGCCAATTTTACCGATACCAATGAGGATGGCGAAACGGCCTACAGCTTGGCCGTGAAGCAGCAAGCTAATCTTTCGCAAGCCGTATTGGAAAATTACATTTCGACACTGTTGATGTCGTGAGAGGACTTGCATGTTATGTTTTAAGTTTTGAAGTTTTAAATTTTGAGCAAAATCAATATAAATTTTTGTCTGTGTTATATTTGTACCTGGATTTATGTAATATATTATCAATTACCACAATAGCATAGCACTAAACAATTTATTGATTCGCTGTTACGTTATAAATTTGCTGTATTTTTGTCACTATGTACTAGTTCTTACTTTGGTTATTAGAGGGAATGGCTCTAATGTTGGCCTATGGATCTAAGTTTTGGCCCATCGCTAAAAATCTGCTATTTATCAATTTTATCTAGATGAACGCGGCATTGGGACGGTACTAATGGATATATTTGGTCATTATTGAAAATTTAGTCGATTGCTGAATTTTTGTATGGGCCCAAATTAGGGGCATTTAGGCCGACATTACATCCATTTCCCCTACCTACATAAATATATACGGTGAGATCTAACTCACCAGTTCTATTGTGAAACCCATATGAAGGCCATATGGGGCAAGACGAGCATCGTCTCTAAACCACATCTTTTGACAATTAAATTGATAATAATGTGTATAGATCACTTCTTTAGTATTGTTTTCATGCTGCGTACTGTGAAATATCTGGAACAAAATACATAGTAGGTAATTTGTGGTAGTGTTGGCAAAACTAGCAAAACATAATTTTGATTTTTTTTTTTCAAACATTCGAAAATAAATACCTAAATATTCTAGAATTATTCTATTTTTTTTCTCCTATATAATTGTATAGTCTGAACGTACTATAAGGAAAAAAATAGAATAATTCTAGAATATTAACATGTTATAGCGCTATCTTGATGGTGGTTTCTGTGTAGCAATTGATCATTTTGTCAAGCTTCTGCATTCATGTTCCATCAGATGTCACAGCTGTTGTTTGCGGTGACATCTATCGGAAACTAGACACAATCTGTTTTCCTATAATTGTTCACAGAGGACACTGAAGTGCAAAACATGTCTGGTACCTCTATATATGCATTTAGATTATTATTCGAAGTCCCTCCTTTTTTACACATTCAGCACACAAAATAGCTCACCCCTCACAGAATTTCCCGCCGAATTTTATGTATGGGGTGGGGCATAAAGTATCTTTTGCGCAGAATATGTAAAAAAGGAGGGACTTAAAATGTTAAAGCAAATGCATATATAGAGGTACCAGACATGTTTTGTAGCGTCAGGTACTCTATTTTGTAATCTGTGAAAGGGAAATCACAAATCGAGTGTTAACAAAATACATGGCATGTTGAGAGATTGAGCTCGTGAGAGAGGATTTCTCTCTCAAATTTGAATTTTTTGGCTCTCTGGAGACTGGTAGTAAAGCAGGTAAAATTGTATGGGGAAAAATCATTTTTATTTAATTGTAGCTTGTTTAGCATTAATTTCCGGGAAAAAACTGAACGACAAAGCTCCTGACTTAGTTATTTAGGTTGTCGCTCACTTTTTTGGACCTGAATATGCACCGAAAGCGAATTATTCCCACTTCTCTCAATTTCTATATGGAGATTTTTATCACTTCCTACCAGCGGAACAGCGCCATCTCTGTGGAAAATGGTCGAACAAAATGATTAATTATTTGACAACCGTTATAATGTGTTATAACTGCTCAGTCTGGTCAGCGCTTTATAGTACGTTCAGACTATAGATACTATTGATTCCACAGATAAGCGGAGGCACTAAAAGTTGTTTTGGCAACCATGAAAAATAAATGATCTTATAGTACGTTCAGACTACAGAGTTATAACATGTTATACCCAACTAACATTTTCTGCTTTGTAAGCCAACTTTTGCAGCGTTGTGCTGTAAAGTAGCTGAAAAAAGCTGCAGATACAGCTACAAGCAGAAGCTAGCAAAATTGTTTTGTAGAGCGTTTACTCAACCTTTTCACAACCATTATTCAATTTACCAATCTCACTGAATAACAACAGCCAATAAACGCTAATGTCACTTTTATACACATCCTAATCAACTTTCAACTTGTAGCTGCAAAACACAGCTAATAAAGTGAATATATTACTCATTTGATGGCTTCTACACAGCCAACCACTTTTGCTGAATAACATAAACATCAAAAGTGTTTTTTCAACAACTAAACAACCTGTTCTCAGCTAATCAACTGTGTTAGCGTTACTTTGGACGCATTTTTATAGTCAGCTAAGTTTATTTTTAGACGTGTGCAGTTTTACAACTTTTACTCTGCTCCATTACAAAGGTGAAGAAACTAGTCGAGAAAAGTGAGTCATGTGCACTATTATAAAGCCCCTAATCAGCGATCTTGTTGTAGAAGGGCATTTTGATTTTTTTACATCAGTAAAGTGTTGGCGTAAAGGGTGATACGGTCAAAATTTGGTCAAGGGAAAACGCGTGTAAATCGGTGAAATCGTTTATTTAAAAAATCTAATTAAATTTCTTTTTCAAGTTCAATTAGGGGAATTTACGTATTCTCGTCAATCTAAGCAGCGTCTGCACTTCTACTAGCATTTTCTCAGCGTCACGCACATATATGATGTGTCTGTTTGTTTACATTCATCTGCTGCTTGCTTCTCTATCCATTCCAATCGACAGAATTTTTCAAAACGTTTTGAAAGCGTTTTTACAACGCTCCAAACTTCTCAGGTGAGTGTGACTATTGTCGGCAGCCTCTTTTTCTTCGGCAACCTTCCCATTAGAACTGCGTGTTAACCAGCTGTTCTATTATCGGCAACTCGAAATCAACCCCATTTTGTAGTGCGTATGCTTTATTTGAAGAAAAATGTAGCATTACTGGATTGCTCGATCGTTCAAATATAATCAGATTGAAGCTGAAAGGCTAAACAATCGTTTGGACACATTTAGGAAAGTGCGTTGATGGGAAAACATTGTGAAATTAACGTTTAAATTTAGGTTGCCGAAAACAGTCAATGGGTGCCGAAGCCAACATTTACCCTAGTATAAAATTCAGGAAAAATATTCAGTTAGGCTTCCGCTTTTCCAAATCCGAATTGCCGGGCCTTACGCTTGACCCCTGCCATCAGATTTTGTACAGCCACCTTGTCCACCTTCTTCGCCGCAGAAAGCCAGTTTGCCTTGAACTACAGCTCGGATTTTCGCGATGCGCGAGCAAAATTTTGATACGCTGCTCTTCTTGCTTGGACGGCATTTTGACAACTGAAGAGTGAATTCCAAAATCAAAATAGGAGCAACATTCTACACACACACACCTTCAAAATGAGGGGTGTTCAGGTTTTTTAAATGCAAAATTGAAAGAAATACGTCAAGTTGATATTGACCAAATTTTGACCGTATCACCCTTTAGCACAGTTGTTAGTATCAAGGATTGCCAATGCGGTCGTCTCGAGCTTGATTCGAGATTTCCGGTGCAGGGTAAATAATTTGGTGGTGTTGCTTGTAACTAATTTGGATTAATTTGGTTTACAGCAAAATATAATCTCAATAAATTCCTTCATTAAAAAATAGCGTAGATAATATTTAACCCGGCTTCAAGACAAAGCTGTGTAGTGATTATTGGATAACCGGGAAAAGGTTGAATAAGCGCCGTTCAAGTCCACACACAACTTAACAGCAGGATAACAGCTGTATAGAAGCGTTAATGGATATGCAATAAGAGCTTGTCCCAACCGTCCCAACAGCCATAAGTAGCTGACTAAGTTTGCCAGATTTGCTTGTATAGAGGTTGAATAAAGGTTTCTTCATATCGTATAACATTTGAATACAGCTTGAGGCTGTATAAATGAAATGAGTAAAGCGTTTACATTGCGAAAATGGTTAGTTGGGTAGTGCTATCCTGATGGTGGTTTCTGTGTTGCAATTTTTTGACAATCATTATAACATGTTATAACTCTCCAGTCTGGACAGCGTTTTACTGGCATCCGTGAAAAAAATTCATGCCATCATTGACCAACCCAAGCAGTTTTTCAGGCAAAATTCGTTGCAATCCTCAATTGCAACGATTAATTCCCTTTATACTTAGATAAGATTTAGTTTTAGTTTTTAGTTTTAAGATTTCAATTGTTATATGCAGGTTAAAAAACGAAAATTTGTCTTATCTTGTGTAATATTGCGAACTTTATTTTTTTATAATATCTTCATGTTTTATTGTCAGTTATATTAATAAAGTTACATACATTCTATAAAAATTCTAAAGTTTTCGACGCTTACATCTGCAAAATTTGTATTAACTAAATAAAGGAACACTTTGCCTAACTGTTTAATCAAAGATTGTTTTGTTGCTCTTGTAAATGTTGAGAAGACTGGATACATAACCTTTTCTGGTTCCATGCGACGAAGCCTAGGGTCTAGATGAGCTAATAAAGATTTCTGATAGAACCAGACATTACGACTCCTTGTGCACTTGAAAATGCGATGAACGATAGTGTCAATTTCTCCTGGACATAAGGCACATAATAGGTCGATTGTTGGATTTTGGCGATGAAGAAGCTGGTTGTGGGGAATCCTCTCATGTATCATGAGATACCACGCTGACCGTTGCTCAGCTGGAAGCAGGCTGGAGTGAATGTTTTTAAAGACCGCTTTCCAGTTTATCTGCGAGTCGGTGAAGGTCGGTGGATCCGGAAGCAGCGAAAGGTAATGTTGGTACAAACCACTCGCCGTCAGGTTCTCCAAAAGATTGGAGGAGAGATATGACATTTCCTGCAATGACAACCTAGCGTGCTGAAATTCTGCAGGGATACTTGGGACGTTCGGTGGATTACCAGATCCTTCCAGAAAATCGGCTAGCAGTGTAAGTTGATCCAATGACTTTACCAATCGATTCAGTAGAAGAGCTTTTGATTTCAACGCTGGAGAGTGTAGGTTTAAACCACCACGGTTTTTGGGAAGCGTAAGATTTTGAAAGGAGATCTTGAACTGTTGAGGGTGCCCCATCCACAGGAACTTTCTCAGCTCAGTTATAATGCGAGCTTCGTAGTTTTTTGGCAAGTACACGATAGAGGCCACGTACCACATTTTTGAGCACACATACGTGTTTAGTAGTGTCACTCTTAGAGTAAGTGGCAAGTTTCTGGGACTTTGTTCCCAAATCCGCTGTTTCATACCCGATAAGATCGAATTCCAGTTGAGATCTCTGGCAGTTCGGGTATTCTCGCAATAAAAGATACCTAGGATCTTGACGTGGTTCTCAATTGAGAGCCACTCGGTAGCTTCAGTTAAGTTGATGTTGCCTATCATTAAACCCACAGTTTTGCTTCGGTTGAGAATTGCTCCTGCTTCTTCACCAAAGTTTGTGAACAGCTCAGAGACTTGCACTAACATTCCTTCGTTTTCCAGGAACATCGATATGTCATCTGCGTAAGCATTAATTATCACACCAGGAAAAGCTCGCCTTAATACGTCCAATAGAGGTTGCATATACAGTACAAAAAGTAACATTGACAAGGGATCTCCTTGACGGACCGAACGCTGGATGTGGATTTCGGGAGTTAGATGACCTTTCACTAATATCCTCGAAAAAGAATTCTCCATGAACTTTTTGATGAGTTCTACTAGTGCCGGATTGAAATTCATTCTTAACATTGTTTGCTGAAGAAATGAATGATCAACGCGATCAAACGCGTGGTCCAGATCAAACGAAACTAGCAGCGCGTTCTGATGCCGGTGCTTCAATTCTAATATCCTATCCCAGATTTTTGTCGTTGCTTCGAAGATAGTTTTGGAGCCATTCGAACACTTCTGATCAGCGGATAGCACCAGTGGAACAAGTTTTTCCATGCGCTGCTTCAGGATACGCGAGACGGTTTTGAAGTCAAAATTTAACAAAGAAATGGGACGAAAGGCGGACATATCTTTTTTGTTACCCCTTTTCCGTACAAGAACTAATATACCTTCAAGAAAGTTTTTGGGAGCGTTACCTGACAAGGCGTCGTTTATTACAAGTGTGAATTCCCTCGAAATTATCCTCCAGCATTTCAGGTAAAATTCCTTGGGTAATCCGTCAATGCCTGGGGATTTTTTTGAGCAGCTCGATTTAATTACAGCGAAGACCTCCTCCTCCTCAGCATTTCTCATGATCGATATGTTTTCCTCGATATCATTTGGGATACTCTTGGTCGGCAAAAACCTCGCAGTATTAGAGGTTTCACCAGCAGCATACAGTTGATTGAAGAAACGGGAGACTTCAGCATGAATTTCATTTATATCCTTGGTAACGTTGCCATCTCGAAGTTCGAGCAAGTTGATGCTTGTTCGTGCTTTGCGTGTTGACCGCTCGTTTAGATGAAACAGGCTTGTCTGCTCACCACCTATATAAGATGAATTGTTCCTTCGGAGCTTTGTTGAGAAATTCCGCTGTAGTTGAAGAATTTGTCCCTTGATGCGATTGATATTAGAACGTTCGTGTGGATTTCCAGGAAGTCGATTAACCACGTGCGAAAGCTGAGTTTGATAAATTTCCATGGTTCCACGAAAATCGTTGAAGAGCAGCGATGTTTTCCATTTAAGAAAGGAAATCAGTTTCGGCTTACAAAAAGTGATCCACCAATCCATCCATGTTGCATAATGCCTTCTGTTTCGGACCCAGTATATCCATTTTCGTTCAAGTTCGGGGAGTGCTTCAGGTTCGTCCAGAACTTTCGTAAAAAGACTCCACACACCTCTACCAGCTGATGTGCCAAGGTCCGGTAAAACTATCCGTACGATGTAAGCCTTGTGATCGGTGAAAGCAGTAGTGCACAAGTAAGCATTCCTTAGCCATCCCCGCATGGTTGCGCCTACCAGAATCCTGTCCAATCGTGACGCAGAATCGTGTCGCAGTAATGAATATTCTACTCGAGTTCCATTCAGATGTGTCCACGTATCGGTGAGTTTCATTGAAGTCATCAATCGTTTCAACGTTGGACTCTGGTTACCGGAGCCGATTGCATCCCTTTCGTTCACCACGCAATTGAAGTCACCTCCAAATATTATATAATTAGATGCCCGTTGCAAGTAAAATGGCACGATGGAATTAAAGAAGCTTTCACGGTTACTTCTGTTTTGTGAACCAGATGGAGCATAAACATTCACAAAGGTGACCTGCCCTATGTGGAGAGAGATCAAACGGGAATCTAGACTACGATGCACATTTTGGTATTGGAGCAGCTGCTTGACTGCAATTCCAGTTCCCCTTCGTCGCTCATCCACATTGAAAATCATGTCAAATCCAGGTAACTCCAACAGCATATTTTCCACCTCCTGCAGGAATATTACGTCAAGGTCAGCTGATCGTATAAATGTTCGCAAAGCAGCGAGTTTCGTGGGGTTTGTAATATTGTTTATATTGATGGTACAAATGTTGTAGCTTTTTAGATCCATTTTAATGACGATTTTTAGACCTGGAAGGCCTCTTGCTTTCGGTAGTCTTGGCTGATCCCGGTCGTTTGAATGCAGATTCCGAATTATGGTTACGGGTGCGTTGATTTTCATTGGAGATCTCTCGCTGGTCCCGGTTAGGTTACTTGAGAATTTTCTCACTCACATCAATCACTTCTTGGACGAGTTGAGATGACCGCTGTCCCGTTGGGGAGGCAGTAGCGGAGTGAGCAGTAACAGCAGCAACGAAATTATCAACAACAGCAGTAGCAGCAGCGGAGCACGTCTCAGCATCAGTTTCGGTGTTGGCTGGAGTGAGGACTGGCATTGGAATTTCGTCCTCGATCGAAACGTTCACTTGGCGATATGTCCCTCGAAATACTTATTGCAGTTGTTGGATGTCCAGTTTCAATTGGTGCCTCCGGTGAATTCAGTTTTTTTTCCCTCACGCAATGATGTTGCATATTCGGAGCACTTCATGGTGTAGTGCACCCTTCGGTTGCAGTGACGGCAAGTGGAAATCTGGTTTTTGTGTGTGACGAGGGTCATATGTGAGATATCTGCGGATATTGTCACATACGACGGAATGGGTTTAGAAATGCGCATTCGAACTATTCTCACTCCATTAGGAACCTTGTTGAAAAGGTTCCTCTAACGGCGCCGGTGGTGTAGTGGTAAGCGTGATTACCTCTCACCTCAGCAGGCCTGGGTTCAATCCAAGTCGGCGCCGCCGGGATGTTCTGAGGCATAACATCTCTGATCACGCCTTCCTTCGGATGGGAAGTAAAGCCGTTGGTCCCCGGTTTATGAGTTGATGGATCGATAGGTGTAGGGTCCAGGTGTGGGAGCTGCCTTCCTGGCACGTCGGTAGCATTGGTGCTCAGCACGGAAAACAAGATCGACGGAAAAAACAAACCAAAGGGAAAAGGTTCCTCCAGTGGTCATCTTTTATCGACAACACCTCACCAAACTGCGTCATCTGTTCCGTGATAATATGGTTTGGCATATCAAACGGCAAATCATGCAGCTTAACATCCGTTGCTCCATCGGCAATGAAGAACGGAATACGGTAGGTGATGTCTTTGTACTCCATCGTGTGCTTGAGGTTGTGCTCTTCAGCGAATTGTTCTGCAGATTCTATTGTATCCATCTTGATGAATACGTACGATGTGATGTTGTTGAGCTGTAATCCTCGCACTTTGCTCCAATCAAGCTGAACATCTTTCGCGATGAAATCGTCCACTCGGGACGGTTTGGGTTTTGCTGGCATGACACTGAAGTCAATCACGCATAGTTGGCGGTTGGCCATGTTTGTGTTGTGTGCTGGTTCCTTTCGGAAAAGAGTAGCAAAACTCATCGGACGGGTGTCCGGAGAAAGTAAAAAAAAACACAACTTTTTCCTCTGCCGTACTTGTGTTATTGGTGTACTGGTTACCCGATCAAAGTGGATTTACAAAATGAAAGCAAATAGATATGACAATTCAATTTGATTTCAGTTGTCGCGACATAAGTCTGATATCATAATGTGCTTTCATTATGTAGTCAACAGGTTTTTCAATGAAAGCAACTTAATTTTAAGTTCTACTATTAACGTCTTGTTGAAAATTTAATCTGAGTTTATCTGTCGTTGAACTAACGATTATTGTTCATTTGTTTTGTTTAACACATTTTAGGTCATTCGTGACTTGTCCGGGGTGAGATTTGAACTCAAGACTTTCAGCGTGAGAAGCATGGATACAAACCATTGACGCCAGGCCCGTATTCTGTTAAATATTATGAACGCAAAATCAGTACTCAAATTGATTTCATTGAAAGCAGGATTAGTTTTTCGTTTGATTCAATAGTGTAGAAATATGCTCTTATTTTTGCTGTGCTAACCGTTAAGTCAACCAAAATTAGATCAATTGGACTATTCAAAATATGTTTCATAATAACAGCAAATTTTGATTTCAATTTGATTTCTGGGGTAGCTCGGGCTCGGGTAGCACTATATAAAAGAATTTGAATTTCTCAAGTCCAACACAAATGGAAACTGTACAACATTCAATAGCAAAGACATGTTTTAAATATTGTACAAAACTATTTATTTAAACAAAATCAACATACATCTTTAAGTATTATCTGTGATACAATCTTACCAACAACCAATTTGTACTAACACTGCTAATATCAACAATTGTCGAGAACCAACCATTCCCGTCCTAAAACAACAATTTCTCCATTAAAGGCACTCATTCCTTCTCCTCTTCTTGCAAACGCAAAACGTCGACCTTATTCATAAAATAGTATGTCGGCTGCCGACCTTTCAGATCCTTCATGATTCGTTTAGCTCCATTCCTGATTAGAATACGACTAATTGCTTCAACATTGCTTACTCCCATGGCATAGTGAAGAGGTGTTCGTTCGAGCTAGAACAAAATAAATTAAATTCTAGTGTCCATACGTTGAATAACAAATAGTAATAGTTACATTGTCACCGACTTTGAGAGTCAGTCTGAAGTTTGTTGCCAAATATTCAACAATTTCTTCATTTTCCATCAACACTGCCACGTGTAGCGAACATCGTCCTGTAAAGTATGTTAGTTAGATATGATCATTATGCGACGTTTAGTACTAATGCGTACCGTAGTAGTTTTTAGTCCGTGCAAGCTTTGCCCCATCTGGTTGTTGGGTTATTTCCTTCACCTTCTGCAGATCCTTTTCCCGAACGGCAGTCAACAATTTTTCGCGATTTTCCTGTTCGAAGCAAAATAATGATAAATAAGATTAGCTGACGATACGGTACATTCCTATTCCAACTTACCTCAAACTGTCTAATGCCTTCCAAAAATCGAACAACCTCCATGTGGCCCCTGGTTGATGCAACCTGTACGATTGTCGTACCATCGGTGCCGGTCACATCTACCACATGGTCATACCCATCCAGAAGCATATTGCTTAACGTTTCCAAATCACCACGGGCGGCCAATCCCATAACGTAGCGATCGATTTCCCGGGCATTATCCTGTTGGGTAGCTTGCAGTGAAACATCCCTAGCCGTACGATACAGCTCGTCACGATAAGTGATGCTTGTACCTGACGATAAATTGATTGGCATTATTCGCGTGAATTTAGCCAGGTTCATTTGAATTCTTACCAGATTCTTCAATTAATTGAATGATCGCATTTTTTCCATGCGACCGGGCACATGCAAAATGCAACATACTTTGACCATGCTCGTCCTAGAATCATCACCGAATGTAAATAGTACCATTAAATTTCATTTCCAAGCATCAATGCGTCAGCTTACCCGATTATCCACCGGTGGTGAGCTTTCTCCGGAATCCGGCGAGGGTGGCGCTTGTTCTTCCGCCCGTTCCACGTTTGTCGTTGACTGTTCGGCCATAACGTTGTTTGCCAGAGCAACCACTTGTCCGATCTCTACCGTTTTAGCCGATCCTTCCAGTTCCTTATCGGAGTCCTCCTTGACGATACCCTCGATGCTATTGTTGTTGGAGTCGTTTTTTGTCGATTCGGATATCGTTTGGCTGCTGGCACTGTTCTTCGATCGGTTCTGGTTGGCAAAGTTGTACAGATAGGTGGCCAAATAGGTGATCGGGTCTGCAGGGCGTTTGTTAGCTACTTCGGTGAGGCCCTTGATCAGGGGATCTCCGAGAGCTGAGAAGGAAAAGATGTCGGCTTAATTTGCATGGATGAAGATTTTTAGAAAATAGATGTTCAATGTGGACCAGTTAGGTCTGTGTCACAGATCGGAGAGAAAAACAAAATGAATATTTTCATAAGTTTAGGAGTTCATTGCTGGTGTTCAAATCTTTTAATTTTCCACCATGGTGAGTATAGGAGGGGTCTTTTCTCATTCCTATTTAGATAAATTTCCATGGATTTATGTTTAGTAAATTTTAAAAGGCCATTTTTACCGTAAAAAATATACCTGATATTGAACTGCTTGACTGTACTACTTTAACATATTAAAACCTAACCCCGTTGGCTATTAAAGTGCTTCAAAAATCAAGTGCACAGCTTATTAACTGAGTACAGGATTTTTAATAGATAAAAATGTGCTTTCGATATGTTTGATATTCTCATGCTGAATACTGGTTGTGTAGAAGTGGATCACTAGTGACTACCATAAAAAATGCATAGTTAGAAGTGATATAGGCATTTAAAATGGATTTTGGTATTCAATATGACTGACAGGTAGCATAAAATTTGAGTAGGTACTATTCAATAGTGTTGTTTGATTCTGCCTATAGCTGCATTATTATTAAAATCATTTATTTGAGAAACCGCGTATGTCCATTTGATACAAATACTGGAAAACAGCAAACCAAGGTCCTAAGTGGTTTCTCTAGAAATTATTATTTCGGACACAAATTTAAAATGGTTTTTCTCATTCAACTTATCTAATATTTGTAGGACAGGTGTTAGACCCCCTCCCCCATCGTAGCGTATTTTGCTATATCTAGTACATCCCCGGCCGAAATTTCTGAGACCCCTTTCCCCCCTCAAATGCTACGTCATTTATGCCTGTTCCCTAAGATGATCCAAAAAATGCCCTAAATGTGAACTACGCGGTATTTCAAATAAGCATTACATTTTTTAAGATCCGTATGATATTTGTATGGAGAAATCAATGCAAATCAATGTTTTGTCAATAGCTTTTCTGGTAGCAATTTCCCGTCATCAGCATGCCATAGAAAGTTATTTATATTAAACAGAGACACCATTTTCATTTTGTAAGTGAGTCTCTATTTTCATTATTTCGTAGGATGTTCAAGACATCCCAAAATAGTTTTTTTTTAAGACCAACAACTCGAAGACGGGTAAACCAAACTTACTAAATTTAAATTTGATCTTAGAAAAAGTGCTATTTTTTACCATGATATCGCAGTAGGCCACGCTTGAAAGCTGACGTGTTTTTCGTCAACGAATTAAATATGTTTTGCTTTAAATTTGTTAATTTGTGTGCTGAAATTTAGTTTCAAGTGTTCATAAAGTTATCATTTAGTGATACATCGTGTTTTGCCTGTGTTTGTCTTGAGTGCCTCGGTTGACCTTGAATCTAACCTAAAAAATCTACGACGCAGCTTCAGTTCGGTGTCGAAAATTGCCTCCCGGGAGTCTGGTTCACCGAGTTCGGATGCCACATTTTCGACGTGTAGTTCTGATCTATTGAGAGATTCGTCACCGTGGGCGAGTTTGAACCCGGTGCGGTTGGGAATTAGTCCGGGAACGTGCTGATAATGTGTCCGTTGCAAGTTTTGGTGGTGATTCGGTGGCCGACGTTGCCGTGAATCATCAAGTTTTCCGCTGTCGGTGTAGGAGATTGTGAGCAATATGAAAGGATACGCCCAAGACTGGACGGGTGGTAGCTGGTGGTCGTGAAAGGTTCCTGGGGAAAGCACTAGACGCGAACCACCTCCCAGATGACCATGGTAATGCAAGACAATTATTGTTCGTTGAAGGAAGTATTACGGAAAACGTGAATCACGAAATGAGATACAAAGTGTAGAGAAAAAGTTGGAAGGGTTGTATACTAGATACGACCGCAGGGTTGGCGTTGGATAACGTCTGTTGTGTGTTGTACTTAATTGTGTATATTATATTTTAGGAATATTCCTTAATAACTCTTTTGCGAAAGTTTGGTGGCCCTGATGACATTCAGCAAATTACTAGAAATATTTCCAATCGATTTATGCCATTATCTCGTAAATCTATCGAGAGACGGTTGAGTTATTATCGTTCAAAATCTTTTAATTTTTCGTAACGCATCCAAACTGACTGTTTTCAATTTTGTACCCCCGTATGTTGCCGAAAGACGCTATCCAACGTCAAAACAAAACTACGGAACCCATGGATTTGCAGGATGAAATTAACATGGTGATACCAGTCCAAATACATTTTACAATTAAAAAACAAACAAACTAAATACGTGCCAGAATTCAAAAGAACATTTTGAAACTGGTTTGATCCCACTGCGACCTAGCGAGAAGTACAGTCGACTTGTTTCGCGCTCCGGTATTTCGGAAGTTTTCTCGGTATTCGGTTGGTTTAAATTATCAGTTTTTTCTCGCTTAGTGATTACTGGCATAGTTACCGGCTAAACAATTATCTGAAAGTGAGTTTTTCTGAGAAGAAAGTGGTTTTCGGCGTCATCGGAAAGAAAATTGTTCACTTGCAATTGGATATTCGCAAACCAATTTGCGCTTCATCGGTGCGTGATCACGCATACCTGCACACAGATCATCGTCATCGAGTGTCAGCATCTGCCTCCGCATTTATACCGGTCATCCATCATCGTGTGTCCAGCTGAGTGCCGAGCCTCATACAAGCACACCACTACAAAGATCGCCCGCACACGCGCATCGAAGGTCACCCACGCTGCGCGTCGCTCCGCTGCTGCTGTGTAATCACTCGGTGGTAGTAGTATCGCAGATAAGTTTTTTTTCCTGTTTCTTTCTCTCGCCCATCAGTTAAATTTAATTTTGTGTTTCTGTGTTTGTAATTTTTTTCTGTTTATTGTGTCTGTGTGGTTTTAAGCATCGTTTCAGTGGTAGAGCGTTTACCGCTCCCACTAGTACGGCAAAATGGACGTCTAGTCAGAAGACGATATGGACATTTTGTCGGAAGATGACACCAGTTTGCCACTCGATGGCAAGAAAAGACGAAAACGTCCTGTCATTCATGGTTCGTCTCAGAAAAGCCCCCGATCGCGAGCCTATCCAGATGACTCGACTGGGCCATGGGTTGTCTACTTTCAGCCCAAAAACAAACCTTTGAACTTGATGCAAATTTCCACTGATCTGACGAAGCGATACTCGGCCGTGACCGAAATCACGAAGGTTAGGCATAATAAACTTCGTGTTGTCGTTTCTAACCTGAAGCAGGCTAACGAGATTGCTGCCTCCCAGCTCTTTACGATTGAGTACAGGGTTTACATACCAGCTCGTGATGTGGAGATCGAAGGTGTGGTCACCGAAGCGAGTCTGACCCCCGAGATCTTGGAGAAGCAGGCGGTTGGCCGTTTCAAGAACCCCTTGCTCCCCCCGGTGAAGATACTGGATGTCCAAAAACTGGGCTCAGTATCTGTAAGCGAGGGTAAAAAGAGTTTTACCCCCACAGACTCGTTTCGCGTGACCTTTTCTGGTTCAGCCCTTCCTCAGTACATCGAGTTGGGAAAACTTCGGCTACCTGTGCGCTTGTTTGTTCCTCGGGTCATGATCTGCCAAAACTGCAAACAGTTGGGACATACGGCCTCTCACTGTGGCAGCAAGGCACGCTGTTCCAAATGCGGGGAGAAGCACGAGGATGGCGCCTGCACAGTCACGGCACCAAAATGCGTGTACTGCAAAGGATCTCCTCCTCATGGTCTCTCGTCGTGTCCGGTGTATAAACAACGCGGGGAAAAACTAGAGCGCTCTCTTAAAGAACGTTCCAGGCGGTCTTTTGCAGAAATGCTTAAGACAGCCAAGCCATCGACCAACGAAACAAATCCCTTCGCTCTTTTGTCAGATGACGAGTCTGGCTCTGACTTGGCTGAGGAGGGAGTTTCTTTCAGTTTTCCGGAAGGTTCTGCCCGGAAACGAAAACGCATCCGTTCGCGGAAAGTTGCAGATCAAGAACCCCAAATCAGCTTGCCCAAATCAAGGAGTGGTGGAAAAAGGAGACTTCTACTCCTCCTGGATTCCGCAGAACTGATTATACCCAGGATTTTCCACCTCTCCCGGGGACATCCAAAACCCACGATGCCCCAATTTTCAGAACACAAGCCCCTTCTTCATCTGGGTTGTTCTCATTTGATAACATTGTGGACAGTATCCTCAATTAGCTCGATATTTCTGATCCTCTGAAAAGCATTGTTCTGGCAATGCTTCCTACTGTGAAAACCCTCTTGAAGCAGTTGACATTGAAGTGGCCCCTCCTTGCAGCAATCATCTCCTTCGATGGATAATTTTCCAAACGAGGTCGGGGATTTGATCACTGTTCTACAGTGGAATTGTCGAAGTCTTATTCCTAAGATAGAATCGTTTAAGTTTTTGGTTCACAATAATGATTGTGATGCATTTGCTCTGTGTGAAACTTGGCTCTCTTCAGATATCGATCTTCCTTTTCATGATTTTAACATTATTCGACTGGATCGTGAGGATTCGCGTGGAGGAGGAGTACTTTTGGGGATCAAAAAGTGCCATTCCTTCTATAGAGTGAATCTTCCACAATTTCCAGGTATTGAAGTTGTCGCATGTCAGGCTTTTGTTAAAGGCAAGAGCCTTTGTATTGCTTCTGTGTATATTCCTCCCCGAGTTTCGATTAGTCAAAAACAACTTTCAGATATCTGTTCAGTTCTTCCTACTCCACGGTTGATTATGGGAGATTTTAATTCCCACGGTACAGGCTGGGGGGAACTGTATGATGACAACCGTTCTACTTTGATATATGACCTCTGTGATAACTTCAATATGACAATTCTTAACAATGGAGAAGTAACACGTTTGGCTGGCCCATCCTCGAATGGAAGTAGATTAGACCTCACACTTTGCTCTAACTCATTATCGTTGGATTGCACGTGGAATGTGATCCAAGATCCCCACGGTAGTGATCACTTGCCGATCAAAGTTTCAGTTGCCAGTGGGTTCAATCCGTCGGAACCCGTTACCGTC